AAACTTGAGAAACTGGTCTCCTCTGTCCCCAGACGTCTGTTGAGTGTAGTAAGAAGAAGGGGGGATGCCACACAGTGGTAAAAATGGACTTGTCCCAACTTTTTTGGGATTTGTTGACGCCATGAAATTTGGAAACAACAGATTTTTCCCTTAAAATAATACATTCTCTCAGTTTAAACTTTTGATCTGTGATTTGTGTTCTATTCTGAATAAAATATTAGATGTTGGCACCTCCACATCATTGCATTTAGTTTTTATTCACAATTTGTTTAGTGTCCCAACTTTTTTGGAATCCGGTTTGTAGACAATACAATAATTGTTCAGTTGGGGTTTTAACTTACTTGTTCATGTTAGTGTTTAGTAAGATCTGAGTTATAACTATTTTAGTCTTATTAAGCATAATATTCACTAGTTGTAGCATAAAGTCCACAAAGCTGAAAGTCACATCTGCCTGATATTTATTTTTGTAGGTGATCATCAAAGAACAGCTGCAGGAGACCAGTGGAATGTGTGAATATGCCGTTTATGTTCAAGGTGAACCATTATTTTATTGTAATCTTTTTTGCCCACACATTAATGTTAATTAATAGATACATTAAAGCATCAGTGAAAGCTGAATTATAATGTTTAATCTCCCTAAATCTGCTTTAGGACACAATGTTGTGCCTTTAATCGTTAATGTCTTTTTTTTCCCACCCCCAAGGATGATGATTCTCTATTTTTGTGTCTTTATTTCTTCCCAGCATTAATCTTACGTCTTGAGGGAAAGATCCAACAGTCCCTGGAGCTATTTCAGAGCTGCACCATCCTTAATCCAAGCAGCAGTGACAATTTAAAGCAAGTGGCCCGCTCACTGTGAGTCTGCTGGAGTCAGTTTGCCAAATGTACTTCTGTAAATACAGTAAACCTGAATACAAGTTAAGAATTGATGTTTTGTTAATAGAATCTAAACAAGGTAATCCACGAGTGAGACTCTTTCATAATTTAAGGCAGTAAAAATAGTCATTGAGCATGCATTTCTATTCTCGGTGAAAGTCTTATTGATGGCTGTTTATTCTATTACAGATTTCTTCTGGGAAAGCACAAAGCAGCTATTGAAATTTATCACGAAGCTGCAAAACTTAACGAAAAAGACTGGGTAAAGGAAACAGCACACAAACCTCGAGTTCCTGTTTTCCCCTAAAGTTTTAACAGAAAGGGTTTAGAGGTGTCTTGAACTCTAAAAGCACAGCGTGATGTTCTCTCAGCAAATCCTTCCAACATTCAGAACAGGAAAGACTCTGACTGAACCACTGAAAAACTGCTTTGTGCCTCACTTCAAACTACAACAGAGCGGTTAAAAAAAGTTTGGATAAACTGTTACGAAGATGCATTATTGCACTTTTTGTTTTTTTCATAAAACTGTTGCTTAAAAAAAGATTTATTTGTGAACTGAGGCAAGTGTTCTGTTAAAGGAGCATACAACAACAATCCATGTAAAATGTGACGTTTGACATTTTCTCACCCCAGGAGATCAGCCATAATCTGGGCGTGTGCTGTTACTTCATCAAAGACTTCAAAAGTGTGAGTCTGCTGAACACTGTACGCTATAAAATGTTATAAAAGCCCATGGCGTTGTTCATTTTGATGTTCTGTTTCTGTCAGGCTGAGGAGCATCTAAACACGGCTCTTCGGATAAATAAACACGACAAGACTTTCATGATGCTCGGGAAAGTTCATCTGCTGGCTGGAGAAACTGACAGGGCCATTGAAGTGTACAGGAGGGCAGTGGAGTAAGTGAAGTTTCTATGTTAGCTCTGCTGCAAGCACCGAGCAGTCAACTGGATGTGATTCTGATCAATTCATATTTCTAACATTTAATTATCACACGTATTTAAAAAATACCACTGTTCGATTCTGTTTGCAAATATTCTAACATGTCCATTTGTTCTTTTATTTCAAGTTCAAGAACTCTTTATTTCATTTACCCTTTATTTATCCAGGTAGTCTCATTGAGCCACGAGAACTCATTTTCAAGAGAGACCTGTTTAGGGAGCAGATGGTGGGGGTTAAGGGCCTTGCTCAGGGGCCCAGAGTGGGGCGAATGAGGGTGGAGGCAGGTGTGGGTGTTTCACCTTTTCCACCCACATTTTGATGTTGACGGTACCAGAAGTTGAACCTGCGACTTTCCAATCGCAGGCCCATCTTCTAACCTCTTGCGCCACCACTCCCCAAGTACCATAATAATGCAGTTATACGCTTTTAAATGGGTTTGTGCTAAAACATTAAATCAGACTGCCCTAAAATACACTTAGGTACTTGTTTTGTTACGTCTGATGTTCAATTTCTTCAGTAGATGCTCGTGATCATTGGTGGTTTAGGTCTGACCTGAGCGTGTGGGGTTGGAGCCTCAGAGGTTTTCTGAACAGACAGATCTCAAATTCTCTGCTGTCTTATTCAAATCATGCATTAAGCCTCTAAAACCACCAAAATATAACGTGTTTGCTTCAAAATACAAACATGTTAAGTTGTCGTTTCTCCATAATACATATAGCAGCATTTGGTTTTCAACATGTGGCAATATGCAGTATCTGTTAGTATGTGTGTAGTTTGTGCACGTGACCGTGCACATACAGGTGGGACTGGGCAAGGAACTGTTGTCACAAAATGTTAGCTTCATTGTGTCGCGGCCTGTAGAAGGTTGTTTCCTAAGGTCGAGAGGTGCAGGTTTGTTTGAAGAGGATGAATAAGTTTCTCCTGCTGCTGCAGCAACACTGATTTATACCTTAAGTTTAGATTCATTTTTATGCCTGAACGAGTCAAAGGTCCAAGTTAAGTAGCTTAACAAACAAAAGCATTCATCTGAAAATGGTCGAGGAAAGGATTTAAACTGAGTGAGAAAGCAGCCAAATTATGAGTAAAACTGAAAAACCTTCAAAAAAGTCTAGAAAAGGATTACTCAAGACCACTTCACACGATTACAACAACCTCTGGTTGCTCAACAAAAGTAAAGACAATCAAAGATGCTTTAGTTTATACAGTCCTGTAGTTTGAACTACACCGGTAGTGGCTCCTGAGAATAGACATTAGTGGGGCGAACATTTGTTTCCTGAATCACACAAATTTTACAGTTTGTGTTCAAATTTATGTGGAAAAGAAAAGCTATGCGTTGCTTAATATTTATGTATTTATTTATTTTTTGTGCACAAAGTTGTCACCTTTGTTCTCCATTCCCCACGTCAAATAGTTATTAAACACCAATCAGAGAAACTGACACCTCCTGCACCCAAATCCACCCAGAACAGGAGTATTCTTGATTTTACCAGCAGAAAATAAAACAGACGGGTACACAGCTTCCTGGATTAGAGTTCATTTGAGGTAATAATTCTACAATAATACTCCACATTAACAAAATTAAATGAGGAAAACAAACTTCTTCTAAAAAATATACAACTGAATAAGTGGTGAGTGCATATACTGTATATTCATCACTTTGCTTCAAAGTCCAAACCATCGCCTTCAGAAGCTGCGTAATTCGTTCAAGAAGATTTGCCTGTTAGTAAAAATAGACCGGCCATGTTGGAGAAATGATCTCCTCTCTATCATGAGTTTTCTGTGTTCTGTTCATGTCCAATCTGTCTGCACTAAGCTGATGACTGCTAATTTATTTTCTAAATTTAGTCTCAGAAATGACATTTTAAACAGAATATCACCACTGTTAACCACAGCAGGTTTCACTGCACACTATTCCTACATTAACTCACTTCATGAGACATCTAGAGTAGTAGTGTCCTTATCAATGAGCTCAAACCAGCAGAATGCCTGCAGTTCTGATCACTGCTGACAAGGTGATATTATAAATCTACTGACAAACTGGCAATGATCTGTCCCTCCCTGTGACTGGAAATAGGTAAAAACTGAGTTTGAATCACATTAAACATTTAAAAATTCTAATCAAATTGTCCAAACAGTTGACGAACTCTGAACAAAATGATACTCAGCAAGCTAAGTAGTAACGTTTTTACATTATTTACTAGGAGGAACTACATTGCAGGGTAATTTTTTAGGGTGGGGGGTGCGCCTAAACTCCACAATGTACAAAACTAAACAAACTTCAAAACAAATAGTAAATCCATCCATTCATTATCTTTACCTGCTTCTTCCTTTTTGGGTTGCTGGGGTCACTGGTGCCCATATCCAGCTATCACTGTGCGAGAGGCCGGGGACATCCTGGACAGGTCTCCAGTCCATCACAGGGACACATAGACACTAATGAGACAAACAACCATTCACTCTCTCACTCACACCTATAGGGACAATTTAGAGTTACCAATCAGCTTAATATTCATGTTTTTGGTCTGTGGGAGGAAACTGGAGTACCTGGAGAAAACCCACGCATGCACGGAGAGAACATGCAAACTCCACCCAGAAAGATCCCCGGCCGGGATTTGAACTGGCGACCTTCTCGTTGAGGGGCGGCAGCTCTACCAACTGTGCCACCATGCAGCCCCTAATTGGAAATCTTCATTGATAAAACATTTAAAAGCATGCTTGGTATCAAGTTCAAATATTTGTTTTTATATCTAAAATCAATCAAATTAAATTTAAACGAGCTGAATTTGGGAAAGGTGCAGCGAGGATGAGGAGGGTAACAGACAGATGAGACTATAACACCTGATGAGTTAGAAATGAATAGGACATCAGACTGAGTCAGTTTCTCATGCATGAAAAATAACCTTTTCCAAACAAGAGGGGCAGAAACTCTGAGATATGAGATGATTAAAATTAAATCAAAATGTTAAATGCACCCAATTCAAAAAAAAAAAACTTGTGATCAATCTCAAGGCTCCTAGGTTTTCTTAATGTTTTACTCCTGCTAACAATCAAAACAACAACAAGTTGAATGAGAACTTTTATTGTATTTTTAATGGCTTCATAGCAAAGACAGCCTGGGCAAGTCGTTGATAAAGCACATCATATTATTTCTGTTCTCTAACTGTTTAAAATGTTGGTTGTAAATAAACCATCAAAATATTACTGGGCTGGATGAAGCCCCCGATGTTTGCACAGTCTAACCACACATCCGGCCATTCAGTCTCACTCAAAGCTCCTTCCTTGCCTCATTTTTTAATCCAAGTCCTTTTCGTCACCCTTAAAAATGTGGCTCATTTTCACTGTGCTAAATATTTAAACACGAGGCCATGGTGTAAAAAAGAAAATCACATCAGTGTCTCTAATAGAGCTCATTATGGTACCTCCTGTTGGGGGCAAATGAATTAATCAAATGCCCCCATTCTTGTGTCGCTTTTAATGAGACTTACCACTGTGAGTGCTATTTTAGTGTCAATATGCCTCCTCTCTGCTACTTTTCTTTAGGCCACACAGGTCATAATTAATACTCTACAATTATGCTGAAATAATGCCTGACGGAATAATCAGCAGATTCTCTGAATGTCAGCCATGTCGGTTTGCGCAGGCATCTAATGTAATTACAAGCAGGCTGTGGGAAAAAGTGACACTTCTCATTCAGCTCTTCTCATTCTGAACTCAGATTCTCTCCAGAGAACACTGAACTCCTGACCACGCTTGGCCTCCTTTATTTACAGGTTGGTAGAACTGTTCAAAGCCTGTTGTGTGAAATTACATGTTCTCATGTAGGAAAATAAAAACTCACATTCTACTCTTATTTTCATTCATTATTTTTTTTTTTTTTGGTCTTTTTTTCATTTGTTAGCTTGGGAAATACCAGAAGGCATTTGAGCACCTTGGGAATGCCCTCACTTTCGACCCCAACAATTATAAGGTATTTAGGTGCTGGCGCATCATTACACTTCAGCATAAACTTTACTTTCTTGCTCAACACCTGAAGGATGCATATGTCAAAATGCCTTTTGAAGCCAAGTCAAAGCAGACGGTTGTTCACCATCAGATGTCACAGCCTAACTTTTGTTGTGTGCTGTTTCAAAGGTTTCGTCTTCCTTTAATATTTTTCTAATCACTGTTTTTATTTTTTATTTTCAGGCCATCCTGGCTGCAGGCAGCATGATGCAAACCCATGGTGACTTTGATGTGGCCATGAACAAGTACAGAGTGGCAGCATGTGCTGTTCCTGAGAGCCCCCCACTCTGGAACAACATCGGCATGTGCTTCTTTGGCAAAAAGAAATACGTAGCCGTGAGTCACGGTGTTTATGTGTTTCCTTGATGTTTGCAAGGTTGAGAAAACTCCTGAAGCACAACACTCAGATTAGGGTCACCGCCTTGTACACAGAATGGAGACCGAACTCTCACAGTGTGGAGTCCAAAAATAGTAAGGTTGACTTATGAATGAACATAGCCAGGACTATATACAATATGTACACCAAAAAGCTATAACACATTTGGATATTCTTGGGGCTGCTGTAGCTTGTTGGTCAGTGTCATGGTCTTGTAATCCTGAGGTTGCAGGTTCAAGCACAGGTTGCATCAGGAAGGGCATTCGGCATAAAACAAATGGCCAAATGTTTCATGTGAGTTTGCTCACTGTGGTGACCCCTGAAGAAGGGAGCAGCCGAAAGAAACTTACTTACATTTGGATATTCTATGGGTCCTTTTAAATTTATAGCAGACCTGAAAACATTTGCTTGTATTCTTCATCTATCTTCTAATAAAAAAACATATTTTGCAACTGAAGCCAAAAAAGCTCCAGTTTTGACTCATCAGTCCCACAAAATTCTCCTGGAAACTTTGGGGCTTCTTCACATGCATTTTGGCAACTTCTGATCTGGCATTATGTTTTTCTGGTAATTGTAAAGGCCTCCAGAGGCAGCTGTGACTGAGTGGTTAGAGCAGTCCTCCAATGGGAGAGTTGGGGGTTCGATTCCACCAGCAGTCACATGCTGAAGTGTCCCTGGGCAAGACACTGAACCCCTCATTGCCTCCGATGTGTGTCCCATCAGTGTATGAATGTGATAAAGCACTGATTAGTCTTTGTATAGATCTAGTAGAGTTCATTCATTCAACCTTTATTTAGACAGGTTAATCCCATTGAGCCTCGGGGCCTCATGTACAAGAGAGACCTGATTTCTTAACAAAGAGCGATGACAACAGTGAATAACAACAACAAGAATAGACAGTCATAAAATAGGCATACTGTAGGTATACAAATTTAATAATTATTATTTTTTAACAAATCAAAACAACATAAAAAGGACAGTCATGAGGAATGGTAGCAAAAGACAAGAGTGCTGTATGCATGGGTAAATGAGGACACAGATTGTGTTGTAAAGAGCTTTGAGTGTCTTGATAAGATGGAAAGGTGTTATATAAGTACAGTCCATTTACCATTTACCTCCTGGGTCTTCCTTCCAGGACTCCATTAGGATTCAAAATGCAATTACTGGTAACCGTGATCTTGGAGTTCATCTTGAATGTTTTGGGTGGTTTCCTTGGCTTCTTTTCAACCATCTGCACTATCCTGTCTGATCAACGTCCACATCCTAGTTGTTTGCCTACAGTCTCATGACCTTTTTTTTTTTTGTCTTTCGGCTGCTCCCTTCCTCAGGGGTCACTACAGCAAACTATGGTAACTCACACCAAGACTTGGCAATTGTTTTTACGTCGGATACCCATCCTGACACAACCACGGACCACTGAGCTACCACAGCCCTCTGTGTGGAGCAGAGAGCTGCTATCTAAGGTGCCCGGGGGAGCAGGTGGTGGGGGTTAAGGGCCTTGCTCAAGGGCCCAGAATAGGGCAAATGAGGATGGAGGCAGGTGTGGGTGTTTCACTTTTCCCACCCACATTTTGATGTTGTTGGTCCAGGGTGTTGAGCAGGCAACCTTCCGATCACCTTCTCTAACCTCTGCACCACCACTCCTCCAATAGTCTCTTGACCTTTTATTTTTTAATAATATTGGCAGGTGTTGCCACAGGAATCTGAAGCTGCATGGAGTTTGTTTTCGAGATGGCCTTTGGCCTTTACATGAATATCTAAAATCTTCTTCCTGAGTTCCTCAGACAGCTGTTTGCTTTCTCTGCTCCATGTTCAGCATGGTGCTCACAATCAGACTAAACTACCCAGTGGCATGTTGGTTCTATGAATAAATGGCTGATGAAAAGCTTGAAAGTGCCTATGATACTAATTAAGGTCTAACATTTAGTTTGAAACATTTGGAGGGGGGGTGGTGGCACAGAGGTTAGAGAAGACATGTCTGATTGGAAGGTTGCAGGTTCGAAGTACATCAAAATGTGGGTGGCACACCTGCCACCTCCCTCATTTGTCCCACCCTGAGCAAAGTCCCCTATCTGTTCCCCTGGGCTAGTTTACATGGCAGCCCTTTGCTCCACACATGGGAGCTGTGGTAGCTCAGTGGTCTGTGGTTGCGTCAGGAAGGGCATGAAAATAAATGCCAAATCTTTGTGTGAGTTAACTCGTGCTGAGCCCTGACGAAGTGAGCAGTCGAAAGAAAAAAAGAAACTACTGTAATTTAAGAATTAACAGTGTCTTGTCATACATCAGACAAATGAATCATTTCACAAGAAGCATTGTTTCAATGAGCTGTAAGAGTGCCAACAAATCTATCCACATCTGTTTGTTGCCACAGTCTGGTCCCTTTTGTTTGACCAACCATAAAAGTTTGAGAAATAAACGTAACAATTATTTCCATGTTGAGGCTGCTTTGCTGTCATTGTTGAAAATGTTTCTTAAGAGTGAAGTGATGAATGAAGTTATGTTCTAGAGTTACGGATGTCTGACATCGTTACCTGAGCTGTGTCATGCATGACTACAAGAAATCCAACCATTTGATTACAGTACTACCTTTCTCCACTCGATCCCACAGGCCATCAGCTGTCTGAAGCGTGCTCACTACTTGTCTCCTTTTGACTGGAAAGTGTTGTACAACCTGGGGCTGGTACACCTGACCATGCAGCAGTACGCCTCAGCCTTCCACTTCCTCAGTGCAGCCATCAATCTGAACCCTCGAATGGGGGAACTTTACATGTTGCTGGCAGGTACAAAGAAATCCTACATGTTAGTTCTGCAGATCTTTTATTATCATGGTAGGTGTTTGAACTTGTGCTTCACTGACAGAAAACTGAAGATGTCTCTTCAGTGAGAGTTGTTTTCATTGTTAGGAACATGTATTGGTAGCTACGTGGTATTTTCAACCTGTGCATGTTGAGAATGTTTGGTGGTGCATTCTTAATTAAATGGCAGCATTGTTCAGCCGCTCTTGAATCTGACAGCAGTGTCTTATGTCTGTGATAACAGTGGCTTTGACCAATTTGGAGGATGTGGAGAATGCCACCAGATCATATGAACAAGCTGTGAATCAGGATGAGTGAGTCTGACTTGACTTTTTCCCTTCATTTAAAAGTGAAACCTAATCAAACAATCAAATGGTTTTTTTTTTTTAATTTCCCTCTCTCTCTCTGATAACCAACCTCCCACAGAACCAACCCCCTAGTCAACCTGAACTTTGCAATATTCCTCTATAATCATGGAGACAAGAAGAGAGCTCTGGATCAATACCAGGACATGGAAAGGAAAGTAAACCTTCTTCGGGACAGCAGTAACAGCTTTGAATTTGATCCTGAGGTACTGGAGATCCAGTTTTTACAGTCAAGTGTATTTACATGTCATGACTTGCTGAACTTTTCCTTTTCATTCATGGCAGCTGATGGACATGGCTCAGAAGATGGGCACTGCCCTGCAGGTTACAGAGGGTCTGGTGTGGACTAAACCAGGCAAGGACTCCAAATCTAAACCTCACTCAGCAGCAACAACCAAAACCCCTGGTGCTCCTCTTGGTACAAACCAAGCTCTGGGTCAGGCCATGTCTTCAGCTGCGAGCTACAATAAGAACATCCAGCTGCTAAAAGGTGCACCATCCCAACACTGTCATATAAAATGTTACTCTGTCAGTGACACTCCTCTAAGTTTAATGATGGGTCAAATCTGAGCACATTCAAGCCATAACTGTATACCAAATCAGTGTTGGAGAGCAGTCATTAAACTACATTTAACCATATTTATCTGCATCTTTATACCAGTTCGGCTTCATTCTACACTTTGTTGTTCTTGCAGCTCAGTCAGTGCATTCAGAAAGCAACCAGACCACGTTTGACCTGTTTAGTCTATTTGTAAACTGGAAAAATTGCATTTCCTGTGAAAATACAGTGTGAATGCTTATTGCTGGAAAAACTTACTGAAATGTAGCTGAAATGTGAAAACAAGCCTAATTTAGCTAAACAAATCAGAAAGAACACCTATTTGCTGTATTAGGTTTAAATAAGCAGAAAGTAGCAAATAAATTAGGAAATTAGCTTAAAAAAGAGCTGAAATTAGCAACAACAAAAAAAAGAACATTTGCTGAAAAGGCAGAAAGAAGCTTAAAGCACCAGAAGAAAGCAGATGTGTAATTAACTAGAAAAGCTAAAAAAAAAAAGAAAAAAATAGCATGAAAATGGTTAAATAGCTGAAATAGCAGAAAGGAGCATAAAGAAGTTAATTAGGCTGAAAGTAGCCAAATTACCACAAAACATTTGAATTAATGTGAAAACAGTTGAAATTAGCTAAAGAAACTGTAAAAAACTGAGAACAAGCTCAAAATAGCAGAAGAAAGCAGAAAGAACACATTTGCTCAATTAGGCTGAAAGAAGCAGAAATGTGCACAAAAAAGTGGGAATTATCTGAAAAAAGCTGAAATTAGCAACAACAACAAAAAAGACTGAAAAGTGTATAAAAAGGCAGAAAGAAGCTTAAATTACCAGAAGGAAGCAGAGAGACCACATAGCTGACATAGGCTTAAAAAAGTTGAAATGAGTGTAATAAATGTGGATTTAGTTGAAAAAGCTAAAATTAGCATAAAACAGCTAAAAAGTAGCTGAAATAGCATAAAAAGCTGGAACTTTCAGAAATAAGATGAAAGGAGCATAATCAGAAATTAGCAGAAAGTAGCAGGAAAAGTTTACATTTGGAAAAGGAAGCTGAAAGAAGCTGAAGCAGAACAAAATGTGAAAGGAGCAATAAAAGGATGTAAACACATCTAAAGATCTGAAGGATGTATAATGAGCTCTATTCCTTTTCTGTAAGAAAAAATGACAGAAAAGTCTTAATATTTCAAAAAGCTACAGTTGCACCAATACCAAAAGTCATAGTGGGATTGTCCTGAACGAGCTGAACGATTTGATTTATAATCTGTTGAAATAGATTGAAAACTGCTGGACGAGAAACACGCCAAAAAACATGCAGAAGAAAAATGGATGACCGTAGTGTGGATGCTTCATAAGCAGTCACACAATAAACAGCTGAGTGACTGATTAAAGAAAATAATTGCATTATCAGTTTTTCCACCATCATAATCAGGAATTCTATTTTTACAGAATTTTTTTTCAAATACTTTTGTGTCATATAGTTAATTTTTTTCCAGTAATGTGTTATAAAGCTGTTGAGGCTTTTTTATTTGAGTAGCTTTTGTTCACAGAATGAATTCCTCACCTCGGTAGCTGTGCTGTAGTTCTACCTGTAGTTTGGCTCTTTATTCTCATCTTTTGAACGTTTGTCTCTTATACAGAAGTGATATGTTTCTTAACACTTACAGAGTCAAAAATACATTTGAAAAACTCCCTAAAGCAAGATTTTCCTAAGGCATCATCCAATCTGACAGCTTTTCAATAACTTATTCTCATTCAATATAAAGAATAATTTTGTTCTTCTTTGTTGATGCTGCTGTCTGACTCACGCTCCTCTCTACTATTTTTATCATATTCTCGAGCATCTTTTAATGGAACATCCTCTGTGGTTGTTTTTTAGGGGTTTCCAAAGGCCCTCCTACGGCTCCTGATCCAGAGGTGGATGTAGAGAATGCTCCCAGCCCACCGACAGACCCTCCAGGGTCCCCAGAACCTGAAGCCTCAGGCGGCTCCAAACCAAAAACATCTCGGAAGAAAACTAAGGTGGAGGAATGAATTAATTTAAAAGTCTTACATCTCTGACATTAGACCTCTCCAGTGTCACTGTGGTTAGACAAGAAACCTTGGAATGAAGGTTTAGGTACACAAATAACTACAAAGTCATTTACTGTAGTTGATGATTAAAAAGGGCAGCACGATGACATTTGTTACAAGATTCCTATAAAAGTTCTGAATAAACAGGCAGCTTTGATGAAATAAGACCTGATCTAACAGTGTAAGAATGTTTGTATTCATTAGTATCGACATTTGTGAAGTCGCTTGCATTGTTGTCTCAAGATGTTTAAAGATAAGCTGAAATGATTCATTTCCCTCGTATAGACATTCCTATAAGATCTAAAACTGAAGGAGACAATCAATGTTCAAACCAGGGAGGAGGAGGAAGAGGGACAGATCGTTTAAATACTAGGACATTTATTTATAGAGATGCTTTATGCACATAAATGTGATGTTTACAGAGAGTTATGTATTTATTAATAAATCACTATAAAAATGCTTTCTAAAAAATCTTTTTTGTTAATTGTTGTTTGGGTTTTTGTTAAGCGGGCACCATCAGCACTGACATGTGGGATCGGTTGGATCATCGGACGACAGACACAAAAACAAAACAAACTTTCACTCTTACATTAATATTCTTCATTAATTATTTAAGCTGGTTCATTGCACAATAAACAAAATTTTCTTTTGACAGTGTAGGTAAATTTGTTTCTGTCTGTATCTGTTTTGATTTTTCCAATATTGTTTTTCTTTATGGGACTTTATGTGATAAATATAATTTAGTTTCAGAGTTTTTAACACAAATTTAGAGGAACGCAAATAAATAGGATAAATAAAACTTGGTACGTCTTTGTGCAAAAGAATGTTTCAAATCTCTAAAGAATATGGACGTTTTTTAAATTTATCTTATTAAAAGCTTTTTTTTCTGTGTATTTGCTGCACAGTGTTGCAAAATGTGGCTATCTTTTTTATTTATCACTAATCAACTTGTGGAGGACAAGATCTGAAGTGTATGTTTCTCTGATCCAGTGTTTTATGTTCAGTTTTCTTTTGTCTCAGAACAGAGTGAACGCTGCAGAGCTGTAGGTCCAGAGTTTCATGCTCACACTGTTTTTTGTTCCTTACACTGTAGATTGAGATTATTTTGTTATGAATGTATGAACTGGGAAACTCTGATTGAACAGGCTGACCAGCTGTGCTAACATTTAAATTAAAGATTTTCAACGCTGTGTCATCCATAATAACGTCAATAAAAAAGAGGCTAAATAATAATAATAAAAAACTTTTATGATCTTCAGCTCTTCTGAATGTAAGATACATCTTGTCAGATTTTGTCATGTTAGCATAAAGTCTCATGGACCAGTGGACAGATTTTAATCAAATTCAAAGAGTAATCTTTGGACGCACATATACAACTTTTGGAGTCATCCCAATTCAAAGATCATCAGATGGGTGATCATATTAAATATATGGACAGTCAGGTGCTGCAGCACATCAAGGCCAGGATGTCCCCGGGCTTAGACCAACACCAGTTCATCTACAGGCCCAACAGATCTACAAATGATGCCATCTCCATCGCCCTTCACACCGTTCTCAGCCACGTGGAGAACCTTGGCACACACATCACGGTGCTGTTTGTTGACTTCACGTCGACATTTAATTCCATCAGTTCTGATTGATCAACAACCTACAGGCTTACAGTTTGGAACCCCTCTCTGTCTGTGGATCAGAGACTTCCAGACAAAAAGACCTCAGCACATCAGAATGAGCACTTCTTATCCTCCACTACTATCCTAACACTGGTGTTCCCCAGAGCTGTGTTCTGAGCCCGCTGCTATTCACAGAGTTCACCCAGGACTGCATTACCACCCAACAAGTCCAAAACAGTCATTCAGTTTGCAGATGACACAACTGTCATGGGGTTGATAACATCAATGAGGCTCCAGAGGTTCAGGACACAGGCAGCTTGGTGCAGTGATAATTAGCTCAACATCAACACCAGGAAGACCATTGACTTCTGGAGAGTTCTGCACTTCATTTTGACCTCGATATCAACGGGAAAGAGGTGAAACAAGTGAAGGACTTCAAGTTCCTCAGTCTTGAAACTCTATGGCTGTGACAAGACTTTCATCCAAAATGTGAATAGTTAAACATGACTATTCACATTTGTTAAACATGAATCTTAATAGTCATCCTGATGCATGCTCAATAATCCAGGTAGAAAAATCTAAAAAAGTTAAATCTGGTCCTGTGGACATTCAAAAAAAACAACAAAGCAAATCAACAAAAAAATGTAGAAACGTTTCGTCTCTCATCCGAGAGACTTCCTCAGTCTGAGGAGCTGTATTCAGCTCAGTCTCTTAAATAGCACCGTCTCAGAGTGGATCAACCAGTTTTGCTGCTGACAACCAAAACCAGCTGATCACATGCTCAAGAAGGACCATCAGCCTAACAATGGATCATTAGCACACTGATGGCTGTTTACTGTTCACAGAGGGCTGAGTGATACTAGCAATCACAGCATTGTAAGAGGGGGACAGTTGAACCCGGAGGCCTCCACCCCTGTTTAATGATGGACGGTTTCTTTTCACAAAGATGGCCTCCTTTACTCCTCTCTCAAACCATTGTTCCTCTCTGTCCAGGATGTGAACATCTTCATCCCTGAAAGAGTGACCGCTGGCCTGGAGATGAGTGTAGACCGCAGAGTCCTGGCCTGATGATGTTGATCTTCTGTGCTGGTTCATCCTTTTGGCCAGTGGCTGTTTTGTTTCCCCGATGTAAGACTGATCACAGCCCTCCTGACACTGAACAGCATACACAACATACATTGTTAAACAGGGGTGGAGGCCTGCCGCCGTTCTCTCCGTGCACTCGTGGGTTTTCTCCAGTTTCCTCCCACAGACCAAAAACATGCATGTTAGGTTGATTGGTAACTCTAAATTGTCCCTAGGTGTGAGTGAGTGAATGGTTGTTCGTCTCGTTTGTCTCTGTGTGTCCCTGTGAAAGACTGCAGACATGTCCAGGGTGTCCCCTGCCTCTCACAGTGACTGTTGGATATGGGCACCAATGACCCCCGTGACCCAAAAACGAAGAAGCGGGTAAAAGATTATGGATGGATGGACCACCACTGCTAGTCAACATTAGCTAAGGCTATAACTTTGTCAAATTGACTGATATTGAGCTAAAATTTCAATTGTAATGTGGTAGTAGCTATGAGTTATCCCCAATATACAATTCAAGTGCCAACAAATCCCACAATGTTGCATGTTTAAGGTTTTCAAAACCTCACCAGAAGAAGATCTTTGTTTAAATCTCCAGCATTAAAGACCGCATGATGAAGATTCATTCCTTCAAGGAATTTCATACCTTTTAACCTTTGATTTGATTTTGTTTACATGTTGACCTATCTGAGAGAGAAAATGGAAGAAAAACTTAAGCGTATGAGCCTGTTAGGACAATCAACCTCCTGTAGAAAAATAAAGCCTACAGTTTTACACCATCATGCTACATAGTATCATGGAAAAAAGGAGATTCCCAAACAGATCAATGTGTAGTTCATCAGATTTATTTACAAAGCTTTGGAGAGCAGTCCAGCATTCACAAAACATTAAATGCAAAAGAAGATTACACTGTTATCAACGCTTTCATCCGTGTGAAACCCTGACCTGCTCTAACTTCCTGAACCGGACAAGTTAGTTTCATAGAATAACCTCCAGCCTCCTCTCAGAACCTCCACTCCATGTCCGAGCTGTCATCGAAAAGGTCCACTGCAGACGTGGATCTGTGTCAAGGACTCTGCTTGAAGACACGTCACCATATCTTCTCAATATCATATCAATCAACCCTTGAGGATATCAACAACAACCAGTTCTTTCTGTTCCTCACTGACTAGTCACAGCAAGAGAGATTACCGTATTGTCCGGCGTATAAGTCACAGTTTTGCATCGATTTTTCAGTCCTGTGACTTATACGCAGAAGCGACTTATATACTTTTTTTTTTTTGACTGACACTTGAAATTTCTAAGAACTGCAACAGCGAGTCCTCCTGTGCACACTCGCTTCACTCAGCTGGTGCAGACGGAGGAACGCTGGAGAGCTATTGGCTCCGGCCGCGATGGATGGATGGATGGATGGATGGATGGATGGATGGATGGATGGATGGATGGATGGATGGATGG